TTTATAGTCAAAGAAATGAACTTCGATTTATTCTTTTATTTAAAGCTGTTAGCTGATGAAGTCAACTTGAATCTTAACAAAGATATTGAGAGAAATAATGTCAAATTATCCGAAATGAAAGCCATAAAGTTCACAAAAAGGTCAGAGACATACCAATTCAGAAGCAGCTATAAATCAGTCGTCTGGACAAAAGCGAATGTCAAAATAGGCCGGACTGCTAATAGAAAACAACTGAAAGACATTACATTAAATGTGTTGTACACTGAAAAGTTGCCGATCCTCGATCGGAAAAAAAAGACATTCGTCAACTGATTGCTTCAAACATTGTTCCAAAATTCTATGAACAATTTTATAATGGTTTATTTTAATGACACATTCCAAGAAAATGTTTCTTGTTAATTACGTAAAATAAGACACTATAAGTAAGGATTAAGAAAATATTACTTAAATATACGACTTCTTCTATATAGAGTATTGTTTTATTACATAAATCATCTAAAAAGAATGTGTTACTAAGGTCATAATTACAAAATTATTTAAATTTTGGTGCAAAAAGGGCAAAAGTGCACATCAAAAATATTATTTTTTCAATTATAGTACAAATAATAAATTATTTACTCCTGTAAAGTACCTACCTAAATTCGCAAAAGTGTAAAGCTTACTTCACTGAAAAAATATATATGACCTAAAATCAATTTAAGCAGACAAACTCGATATTATTCTACAAAAATCTTAGAATGTCTCTAGTGAAAAATTACAAAACATGCATTTGTGCCCTTGTTCCACCGATGGTGCGATATAATTGACTGGGAGAGAATGCCTTAAGGCATTGAGTCCGCCATATATACGATTTTTCTTTTGTGCATAAAAGTAAAAAAAAAAAACAATAAATATATAAATATAAATAAGTATGAATATATTCGTCTGTTAATAATAACATTCTTAAGATTAAGATGCTTTGTGTTTCATGCAATAAAGAATATCTATCTAACTGTCTTACATCCTTGAACACTCACATACACACAAACACACACACAACGCGTGCGGACAAAGACAGTGCCGATGTAAGAGTAGATCATTCAAAATTGTCGATTGTTTGAATGGGGATGTCAGGAAGTTGACTACAGATTTATAATGTAAAGTCATAAAAAGTACTCGATGTTGCAAAAACATCGATGTTTCTAACCGATGCATCGAAATATATCGATGCACAGTCTCGATGCATCACATCGAAAAAAAACATCGATGTATTTTCAAAGTGGACACCCCTATTTCGGAGTAGGGATGTGAAAAAATAATCGATTTTAATATTAATCGATTATTTTTTTGTTATAATCGATTTTTCGAAGTCGATTATTTTTATAATAAAAATCGATTTTTAATAAATCGATTTTTATGTAAATTACGCGTTTCAAGCGATTTTTGTAATCAGAGTCATCTGTGCGATGGATGTAAAAACGTGAAGTAAGTTCAATAATATGAATAAGTCAATCAAAAGACGGCGCCACCTTTATGTATCTCTATGTATGTAAAACAGTTTCGCTTTTCGTATGTTTTCAACAGGTTTCTTCCTCCGCTAGGAGTAAAAGTATTCTGTGGTTTTCTTTCTTTCTTTGGTTAGTGTAAACAACTATATATAAACAATAAAAATGTCTTGTGAAACGCGTAAAAGTGACTGACAGAAGTATTTTATAATGAAACAATGATAGCAGCTAACACGTCAATAGGCAAAAATACTGAATTGAATCTATATATTACGGCACCACTATCAAATCTCAAGGCAGATGCCCTCAATATATGGAGAAGCTCTGAAGGAACTTTCCCTAAACTAACCGAATTGGCTTTTAAACACCTCTCAGTGATGGCCAGTTCCGCGCCAGCCGAAAGATTATTTTTGAAAGCGGGAAATATTGTCAGGAAAAAACGAAACCGTATTTTGGGAAAGAGACGAAGAAGAATTTTGGTGAAATGATTGTTTTTAAAGTCTTTAACTGAAAATTCATGGCAATATTTTTTTACTTTTTTGTTTACACTAGTGTAAAAAAAGATTTGTCTTTTATTTTAATTTTGAGATCAAAAGGTTGTCGTCGGATTATTTATAATTATAATTTTATTATATTTTTATTTTATTTTCAGTCTAATCCAATGTAATTGATACTGAACATTAGTGGCATAATGATATTTAGACTTTTTGTTTGTTCAAACTTAGTTTAAAAAAAAAACTATCGTTTACTAAAATTATGGTTTCTTAATGATTTCTTATATTTACGCGAAGACTACACATTTAATGAAATTAATTTTTACGGATTTGATCACGCTTAATTTAACTTTTTAATTCCTGACGTTTCGGGTGCTTCACAGCACCCATGGTCACGGGGGGAACTGAGGTGTTTGACGTCCAGATGTCATAATTAGCCTGGCTAAATTCAGTTTTTGAATATTAATTTTTGGTCCGATCTACGCAGAATGAGCTTACAGTATCTTGAAGTCTTACAGTGGTATGCTTGGGTTTGGATTTAATTTTATTAATTATAGGATGCCAAGCAGATGGCAGCACCCATCCATCTTCTCTATTGAAATTAGGATGTTTTTTAATTTCGATAGCCTAGCAAATCATCCTTGGTAGGAATCGGTGTTCTTTTGCGAGGATTTGTGGTTCAACTATGACATAGGGAAGTCAAACACCTCAGTCCCCTCTGTGACCATGCATGCTGTAAAGCACCTGAAATGTGGGGAATTAAAAAGTTAAATTAAACGCGATAAAATCCATAAAACTTAGTTTAATTTATCGTTTCTGTTTATTTTGGTTGTAATAAATTGTTAAATGGCACTGAACATTTGTGGCAGTAATTATTTTTAGTTTTTTATTGTTCAAAGTTATATGTTAAAAAATTGTTCTGTAGTTTATTTCTAAAACCAGAAGATTATTTTCCGAATATAATTTTTTTTTCGCAAAAATCGATTATTTTTTTATAAAAAAAATCGATTTTTCTTAAATCGATTATTATCACAAAGCAAAAAATCGATTTTTTATTAATCGATTTTTTTCACTCAATGTCACATCCGTATTTCGGAGTAGTATTTGTTGCCGCATTTTACAAGAGTGCTGGCGGTATCTAGTCTGAGCGTGCGAAGACCTATCATTAATCTAAGGTAAAATACTTACCGATGATTGGCCGCTATACCGAATCATATGTTTATTATGTTTTTGGGATGAGACATGTTCTTTTAATGAATACAATCTTGTAACTAATTTACGATTGCAAGCTTTGCAAAATGCAATATCAGAATCCTCCTAGTGTTTAAAGTATGCACATCCTTATTCTTATTAAAGCTATTTATGTTTTTATGTACATACATTACCTTTTCATAAATATATAGCGATGCCAAAGTTAATATGTTTGTTTCTTTAAATTTTTCTCTGAGGGACTCTTTACAATTTAGATTATAAATCGCCCGTACGGCTCTCTTTTGCAAAACAAATATAGCTTCAATATCAGTCGCATTATCCCATAGCAAAATTCCATAAGACATTACGCTATGAAAGTAACTAAAATACACTAACCTAGCTCCTACTTTCAACATCTGTGAGACTTCTAATCTTTCTTACAGCATATGCTGCAGAACTGAGTCTGCTTGCTAATTTAGATATATGGGGACCATATTGAAGTTTCGCGTCAATAGTAATACCAAGAAAAACAGTGGTATCCATAAGACTCAACTCCTCGCCATTTAAGAGCACATTGGTTTTCGAATGTTTTACATTAGGTATTGTAAATTTAATACATTTTGTCTTATTACCGTTTAAGAGCAAAATGTACTAATTTCGATAGAGCATTATTTACATCGTCATAATTAATTGACTGTCGTTTAAGTTTGAAAATTAAAGAAGTATCGTAAGCAAATAATACTATATCGTGATTGTCCCCTACAAGATAAGGTAAGTCATTAATATAGATTAAGAACAGGAAAGGGCCAAGAATCGAGCCTTGAGGAACGCCCATTGATACTACCGATCCGGAGGAATCTTTACCATTGATTACGACTTTTTGAGTTCTGCAGAAATGGTAGAAATCTGCCACAAATGGTCACACTGCCCCTAAAAAAAATAGGACTAGTGGGCAGTGCTTTTCTCAGTGGTTCCATCGTATGCAGCCATGTCCATGCAGGTTCCATGTCCATGTAAATGGTCACTATATTGAAAAGATATAATAAACCCATGAAGCAAATACAAAGTTTCGTATTTTCTTCATGAATAAAACTAATAACTTGCTAGTTTGTTCATTTTTTGATTCTTTAAGAACTTTCAGTGTCACCCTCGTATATGGGCCTTTTAAGTTGTTATATGAAATAAAATTATTTGAAAAGCACAGATCTGGTTTGTATAGATCCAAAATGTAATGTGAACTTTTTACCGCTAAAGTAATTGTATTCAGGTATGAACGTTAGTAAAGAAATTGATCGTCTATCTGCAGATGTAATTTTAAAACCTGGAATTCAATCTTTCCTTCAAAGAATGCAAACATTTTTAATTGAATAAATTTCCCAATATACTAGATGAATATAGTCTTCAAAAAGTTGACGACGAATTTCGACAAATGAAATTCGACAAAAATCTAAGCTATTTGTTGGAATCTGGTCAATATCAATTTTAAGTGTGGACAAATTCTTAGGAGCTATTGGGAAAGTGCGTGATACAAATGGAGCTCCAAAATATCAAAATATTAAAAACTTTGCAAAAGCTCTCTTATGTTTGCCAATTTCAAATGCCACTTGCGAGAGAATATTCTCCCAAGTAAACTCAAATAAAACAAAAATAAGGAACAGGTTCCTAAACAAACTCCTTTGAATACATAGCATTTTATTTATTCATACCCGTCTCCGTGCATGCAATAATAAAATGGCATATTTTTGGCTTTTTCTGGAGTCGGTTTGGTAGATTTTGGAACATTTTTCCTAGTGTGTGGCAGATTTGCCATTTTTGAGATGGTCACACTGGTCTGTTTATCAATCTAGAAAAGTCGGTGCATTTTGTTATTTTCAGTGTGCCTTTTTCGCTTGTTACCAAAATAGAATATTATAAATAACAGTTGTTAAGACTTTTTGATAAGAGAAGAATTCCTTGATTAAATTAAAACGTAGTGTTTACATACTATTTGGATAAAATGACCGAAGCGGCTGGTGAGGTTTGTTGTAAACTGCCTATAAACATTCTTTTTCCGACAATTTTAAACAGATCAATTTAATTGTTAAATGCCTATTGTATACACTAAAACTAACATTTTGTATTAAACAATTTTTTTTACAAAACAATCGTATTTAGATATCTGAAATTTAAAATCGCCACAGATGTGAAACACGGTTCAATTACTTTGTTTAGATCAAGGTGTCTTCTGCAAGTCAGACATACCAATGGTTCCAACAATAATAAAATTAAATATACAATAACGCCTCCTAGATGTAACTAACATTTGATCAGGTTCAGGACACTAATTGTTGAACTAAGGAATCTAATCACTGATTAAATTTCATAGTAATTTAAATAATCCCAACTTAACTTTACAGTAAAAGCTTGTATATAGTAATATGCCTAGATTCTACTAGGTGGTAGGTGGTAGGAATGACTACCTATTTTTGCCGCCAAGCAACAGTCAATGCCTTGCTGTGGTCTTGGCTGAAGAGTTTAAAGAGCCAGTCTATGGGCTGCAATAGCCACTATACATCAGGTTAACTGTAAGTTTGTTTGTCACTTCAACTTTATAAAAAAAAATCCTTGCATTAGTGGCCTTAAATGCCTGGTTTTTTGAAAATAATGTATATTATGTAAAAAAATTGATTTTAAAATTGCTTAATACAAAGGTTGGTTTATAGAATGACCAGAAAATTAAAAACTTGTCTAATAGATATAATAGGTAATAGTAAATAGTGTCATTCCATTCCATCCATTCAATTAGAGCCTATGAAAGTCCACTGCTGAAGATAAGCCTCCCTCATAGATTGCCTCATAGAAGGAATTTTGCCATAGAAGCGATGCTTGCCGTGATGTGGGTTACCAACTGCAGCTTTTTCTTATTTTGAGTTGTAATTAGAAAAATGCTCCTGCCCATCGCCTGTTTCAATTTACCTCTGTTACCTCTTATGACACACACAGGATGATATGGGGTAGTGAATATTCTAACACTGCCACACAGTGGAGTAGGTATAGTGTCATGGATAGATAAAATCTTTGGTTTGAATTGCTTATTATAAAATAATTGATTTGTAATGGGAGATAACATAATATTTTTAAGCAACAATTTAAAATATAAAAAAAGGCTCAAATAGTAATATAAATCATGTACCTACATATTGAACAAAAGTTTATTATTATTGTTTTTTTTATGTTATTCTAAGCCAGTGCTTAACTACAATCCCACCTGATGATAAGTGGTGATACAGCCGAGGATGGTGTAGCGCACTGACTAAATAAAAGCCTATTCACTCTTGCCTTGAAGACACCCACATTATACTCGGATGGAAACACAGCTGCTGGCAACTTATTACACTCCTTTGTTGTATGCATGATGAATGATGTAGCAAACCATTTGGTTCGAATGCATGCTAAGTCAACAATGAAGGGATGGAGACTGGCCGAATGTCTGGTTGTCCCATGGTGGAAGGGAGAGGGAGGAATTAAACTATGCAATTTCTGTGCACACACTCTGAAATGCATCCTGTAGAAAACCAAAAAGCTGGCTACTTTGCATAGGGTTCCTACAGTAATAATTATATAATTATAACATTTTAAAGAGGTTTGACATTTATGTGTAAATTATTAAAATTATGAAACTGTGAATGCTAATAAAGAGGACAACTTATATTCAATAATAGTCATATGTATATGTAATTAATGTAGAAGTTTGAGGCGAAGGGGAAATATTTTTATCTCATCTCATCAGTAATACACAATGCTTCAATATCAATTTTTGTTTAATATTTATTAATGTAAAAAATGAAAGTTTGTTTAAAGAGGTTGTAATGATTGAATGACTGGAAATAATTCTGGCTAAAATTTATTGAATACATAAGTAATAAAGAATTAATTGATTAATTCTTTATTACTTTTGAATTAACTTCTCTATTGTCTCTCTGGAATTTAATTCTCTAATTTCTGATATCTACTTTTACATAAGTATATTTTCGACTTGCTATCTAATTTTCAATTTCAATTTTTTTTAATCATCTTCTCATATGTTTTCTTACATAGTTTACATGTTTTAATTTGTTAATTGTTTCATTGCAGCCTTCAAGTCCAAAAATTAAACATGACTGGTATCAAACAGATGCTCAAGTAATTGTAACAATTTTGCTCAAGAATGCTCCAAGCGACAAAGTGAAAGTTCATTATGGCAACCGAAGTGTAAGTGGATTTAACCATTTTATTCTTTAGTATACTTATAATGTTGATTTACATTTAATTATTTTAATTATTATTGGACTTTTTTATGAAAGTTGAATGCAAACATTAGAAAATCTGCTTTAGCATAATGTAAAAATCTCTCTCATAATTGGACTATGTTGTACAGAAATGTTTCCATTGAACATAAAGTTATATAAAGTTTTGAAAAATGATTTGAAAGATATACATGTTTTTCTTGTGGCAGAAGCTCTATTATGTTATGTATATCATTTTAAATGAAATTGAATATAGATTTTAGGATCCCTTTTTATTTGTCTTATGTCATCCATACTTGGAAATAAATTTAAAAAAAAGCCACTGAATAATTATTTTGTCCAGTTTGTGGATTATATATAATATATAATTTATGTGAACCAATTTGGAAGGATAACTTTATCGGAAAATAAAAAATTAGATTAATCAGATTGCTGATGTTATAGCATGTTAGCTACAAAAAAAAAGAATGTATGTTCAAATTAATATTATATTCAATGACATTCGTTTTTGAAATTGGTTAAAAATTGTTATATTAAAAAATAACAATAACGAGAATCATTTGTTTCTTAGGTTTCAGTATCAAGTGCAATTCCTAATTCAGAGTCTGAGTACAGTCTAGAGCTGGAGCTGGCTCATGAGATTGTTCCTTCCATGTGCACTCATGTGGTAACTCCTTCGAAGATAGAGGTAAAACTACGAAAGAAGGAAGGAATCCGTTGGACATTGCTTGAGGGCGAAGGAAATGAGGAGAAAGTCAAGGCTATACCACAAGGTATGTAAGTACTGCAAATTAAAACAGTGTTTACTTAGATATTCTCACAGTGATGTTTTATAATTAACTACAAGAGCTTGACTCCTGCACAAAATATTAAAGTATAAAGTATTACAGTGCTGTTAATATTTGCAACATCAATGGGTAAATGCGCAACGCTTCTCAGTTTTAAGATATTGTTAAGTCTCACGGTGTCACAGTTACTTTGACTTAAGGTGGTAGAGACAGTACAAGACTTAACAGCATCTTAAAATTGAGCAGCGTTTGAGTATTTTTATTTACCGTGTAGTGGCGGTTGAGAATATCCACTACCCCATATCTTCCCGTGGGTGTCGTAAAAGGCGACAAAGGGAAACAGGCAGGAGATGGGCAGCAGCATCTTCCTGATAATAGCCAAAATAACAATAAAAAAACTGCGGTTGCCAACCCGCTCGCCAAGCGTGGCAACTATGGCAATATACCCCCCATGAGCAATGACAATAATAAACGGCCCCTAGTCCCCGGCGGCCCCGCTATTCCTGGCTACGGTGGCGACCATGGTAACGGCGGGGCAGGGGGTGCTAAGAATCTCCGGTGGAGGTTCGGTTGCCACCTACAACGACTCGACCTGGCAACATACAACGCACGCACCCTGAGGACTGACGATAAGATTGTGGAGCTGGAAGAAGAGATAGACAAGTTACGCTGGCATATTATAGGATTATCCGAAGTCCGAAGAGAGGGGGAGGACACGGTAATCCTCGAATCCGGCAACTTGCTCTATCACCGGGAGGGCGACCATCTGTCCCAAGGAGGTGTCGGATTTATTGTCCACAAGTCTCTCGTTAACAACGTTGTAAAGATTGAGAGTGTGTCGACGAGGGTTGCGTACCTTATACTCAGAATCACCAAACGGTATTCGCTGAAGGTCATACAGGTTTACGCACCAACCTCGGCACACCCCGATCAGGAGGTGGAGGAAATGTATGAGGATATATCTAGAGCCATGCATTCCTCCAAAACCCAATATACGGTGTTAATGGGAGACTTCAATGCAAAATTAGGCACAAGAGAGAACGGTGAGCTGAAAGTAGGGAAATTTGGAATAGGGCAACGGAACCCAAGGGGCCAGCAGTTGGCTGACTTCATGGAGAAAGAGGGACTCTTTATGATGAACTCTTTCTTCCAGAAGCGGCCCCACAGGAAGTGGACCTGGTCGAGCCCCGACGGTTCGACAAAAAATGAGATTGACTTCATTATGACGACCAGACGACAACTGTTCAGTGATGTCTCAGTGATCGCGAGGGTGAAAACCGGCAGCGATCACCGAATGGTTAGAGGCACACTGAACCTAAACGTTAAGTTGGAGAGGTCTCGTCTAATGAAGTCAACGCTCCGTCCCCCTCGTGCTCTAATCCAAAGTCCCGAAACCTTTCAGCTCGAGTTACAAAACCGTTTTCAGTGCCTAGAAGACTGCAATGAAGTGGACGATTTGAATGACAAGCTCGTGGAAACTGTCCATGCGGTCGGAGCTAAGTTCTGCAAGACCCGCCGCAGAAGAACACAAAAACTCTCCGATCACACTCTTAATCTCATGGCTGTTAGACGGGAGATGAAGCTACATTCTTCAACAGATTTAACAGCATACAGGCAACTGAACAGACAGATCTCCAAATGCATGCGGTGGGACTTACGCAACTTCAATACAGCTCGTATTGAAGAAGCGATCGAGCGGAACCAAGGCTCCAAAGTCTTTGCCAGAGATCTGTCTGCCAGAAAGCGCCAACTGTCAAAGCTGAAGACAGAATGTGGCAGCATCGTTTCCGGGGCACCTGAGATTTTGAGTGAGATTGAGAGGTTCTATGGACAGCTGTACACGTCATCGTTGGAGCCGCACGCAGGTGTGAGTAACGATCCAAGAGCGAGTCTTATCCGACATTATTCCGATAATATCCCGGACGTCAGTCTGAGCGAGATTAGAATGGCTCTCCAGCACCTTAAAAACGGCAAGGCCCCAGGCGAGGATGGAATTACATCGGAGCTTCTGAAAGCGGGTGGAAAACCGGTACTTGAAGTCCTTCAGAAGCTCTTTAATTCCGTCCTCCATGGTGGCATTACACCGGAGGCGTGGAGCAGAAGTGCGGTGGTCTTGTTCTTCAAGAAAGGCGACAACGCTCTCTTGAAGTACTACAGACCGATTTCCCTTCTGAGCCGCGTCTACGTGCTGTTTTCGAGAGTCATTACGAATCGTCTCGCGCGCAGACTTGACGACTTTCAGCCTCCCGAACAAGCCGGTTTCCGAAAAGGCTTTAGCACCATAGACCACATACATACCCTTCGGCAAATTGTACAGAAGTCCGAGGAGTACAATTTGCCACTATGTCTGGCGTATGTGGACTATGAGAAAGTCTTTGATTCCGTCGAAATTTGGGCGGTGCTGCAGTCCTTTCAGCGATGCCAAGTTGACTGTCGGTATATCGAAGTGTTGAAGTGCTTGTACAGTAGGGCTACGATGGCTATCCGAGTACAGAACCAGAGTACGAAACCTATCCAATTGCAGAGAGGTGTAAGACAGGGTGACGTCATATCCCCGAAACTCTTTACCGCTGCATTGGAAGATGTTTTCAAGCTTCTGGACTGGAAAGGATACGGTATCAACATCAATGGCGAGTACATCACTCACCTTCGATTTGCCGACGATATAGTCCTTATGGCAGAATCGCTGGAGGACCTAAGCACTATGCTCAATGACCTCAATAGTGTTTCCCAACGGATAGGTCTTAAGATGAACATGGACAAAACAAAGATCATGTTTAATGTCCATGTCACACCTATGCCGGTAGTTGTTGGGAACACTAAGCTCGAAGTTGTTGACGAGTATGTTTACCTGGGACAAATAGTCCGACTAGGTAAGTCCAACTTCGACCGAGAGGTCAATCGACGGATTCAACTCGGTTGGGCAGCGTTCGGGAAATTACGGCACATCTTCTCGTCAGGTATACCTCAAAACTTGAAAACGAGACTGTACACCCAGTGCGTGTTGCCAGTGATGACATACGGAACTGAGACGTGGTCCTTCACTGCTGGCCGGATGAGGAAGCTCAAGGTCGCTCAGCAAGCTATGGAGAGGGCTATGCTCGGAGTTTCTCTGCGTGATAAACTCAGAAATGAGGATATCCGCAGTAGAACTAGAGTGACCGACATAGCCCAACGGATTAGTAAGCTGAAGTGGCAATGGGCCGGCCATATAGCTCGAAGAACCGACAACCGATGGGGAAGAAAGGTTCTCGAGTGGCAGCCTCGTACCGGCAGGCGAAGTGTAGGGCGTCCCCCCACTAGATGGAGTGACGACCTGGTAAGATATGCAGGAAGTCGATGGATGCAGGTGGCTCAGGACCGTGCTTTGTGGCATTCTTTGGGGGAGGCCTATGTTCAGCAGTGGACTTGTGAAGGGCTGTAATGATGATGATGAATGATGAGTATTTGGACACAAGACTTGTATTAACTTTATAATGTAGTTCTCAAGTTTTACCTCCACAGCAAATGATAAATAAGCACTTAATGCCGTGGTAGCTCGGGGGTTAAGCTCGCTTGCTGTAAATATCACAATACGCGAGCAAGCTTCGTTCAAAACCTGCCGGCACCAATGAAATTGTTAATTACAATTTTAAGCGCTGATTTACCACATACTCTACAGTGAAGGAAAAAATCGTGAGGAAACCTGCATGTCTTAGGAATTAAAAAAATATATTTCGAAGACATGTGAAGTCTGGTGGACTTCACATGTCTTCGAAATATATTTTTTACACGCATTGGGACAGCGCAGCGGACTATTCCTAGCCCTAAAAACCTTCTCAGAAATGAGAGAAAGCCTATGCCCAAGAGCGGGACGTAGTAGGCTGTAACTTTTATGCTGTATAATGTACATGGTGTATAAAGTCACCATACCCATACCATTCTCTTTCTTTATTAATTTCTTGAACACCAATATTACTTTTTGTCATCTCCCACTTAAAGTAAGAATTTTCGATTAATAATAAAAGATCGACGTCAATGTTTACAACCTCTGACAAATCATCACAATCGCACAAACGCGGCCAATGTGAACACGATCTCGCCCAAACCACCGCGACCACTGCCGCCTGCGCGCCCTCGTGTTCTACGTGGACAAGCACTAACTGTATCTTTGGGTTGGGTTTAGAATCAAGTCGCCTGAATTTGAGGAGTCTGTCACTATGGGGGGGGGGAGGGGTCAAGTGGGCTTATTTTAAGCGCCCCCATGCAATTTAGCTGCCGGAGCTGCGTCGAAATATTTAATATAATTTTCTAAAAATATTCGTAAATCACTAACTTCCGAGTTTACGTGAATGTGCTCCTTATTAAACGACTACCTTATTAACGCTACCCCTCTGGAGACTTGCTATTTTACGTTTTTGGAAATGGTGGAAGTTATAAAATATGTTTACTTATTAAAATAATTATAAAAGTTAATATTTTGGAGTTTTATTTGGTGCAAGAGCGAGCGAAGCGAGCTCGGGCCTCGGGGCACCCCGTCTCGGACAGGTTAGGTTAGAAGGGGATGGCGGAGTCGAGTGAGCGAGCGAACAGACCCCTCCATCCCCTTCGTGGTTATTTTTTTATAAAGCATCCAGAAATAGGAGCCCCGCGAAGCGGGGCTCCGTCGACCGACCTTCCCTCGACTGCGCCATGTTGAGTGGCGTTGGGCTAACCTTTTTTTTTTTTTTTTACGGGGGGAAATCCTCATGGACTACCTCCGCCTGGGGAAAGGCGGAGGGGCGTGCCGGACTCTTACCGGCTAAAACCACCCCGGTGTCTCCTCACACGTGCGCGTGGGGCCGCGGGAATCCAAATTCTTCCGCAGCCCCACACTAGTGCTGGCCCGGCCTGTCCAGGCCTCGTCTCCTGCACGGGGTAGTGAGGTGTTAAACTACCCCGTGTATCGCCTCAGGGGCGCGCGCCGACACCCGCGTCCATCGAGCGGTCCATCGAGTAGGGGTGGC